GGTAGGTACATACTTATTTTTAAGGATTCAAAATCATAAATTATAAATTATAATTACAACTTAAATCATAATTTTATTTATTTTGATTTATATTTTCTTAAAACAACACGCCCGCCGCCACTGGTAGTGGCAAAATCCACATGCGTCAGTGTTGCCATTTTATAGGCCTATCTCTCTCTTACTTATGTGATGGACTAAAAGATGATTGATTGTAAACATTGGGCGATTTCTAAATGGCATGTTTGGTCTCTAGTTTTATTATTAGTCTGAGGTGACCTTGTCAAACTTAATAGTTTTTTAAGGCTCATCCTCAATCAATTTAGTAGCGAAGTGGCACTTCGGCACGCAAGCTAGGGAAATGTTGTTTAACGTTGGCATCCTCAATTCAATTCCGTGCTGGCATGCACGTCGACTCTGAAGTGAAGGTTGCAAGCTGCCAGCTTTTTCGATGCGTGCCGACTTATGTCATGCGCAGTACAGTAAAAAATAATTTAGGTTATCCTTGCGTTCAGTATTTTGCTCAAAGAGCAGAGCGGAGCCGTAATCACGTGAACAGCGAGCGCACAGAGCAGTTAAACGCTGTATCACAGGGCTCGAAATTTTATTAAACGAACGTGAATGAGCCTGCACCGAGTACACTTTTTGAATAAACGACCGGTAAATTCATGCTCAGAGAACTCAGATCAAAATACTACTACACGCACAGCAGACTGAAAATTGACAGCATTGAGGATGGGTATAAATTTTCCAGCACGCTTGCCAAAGTGCCACTTCGCTACCAGATTGATTGAGGATGTAGCTTTACTCTAACAACCACACAAAATTTTGTTGCTGAAAAACCATCATGTTTGGTCCAGGTAGGAGTTTTGTCAGTGGGAAACAAGCCATTCCTATGACATTTTACCAGTGTAAAACACTCTATTAAAATAGTCAGTGTAAAATACTCTAAAGTTTCTTTTTTTTAAAAGATAATTCCCCAAGTTAGAAATTTAGTAACTATGTTGGCAACACAAGCCTTTTCTACATAAAAATTTCGAATGCATTGACAATTTTACATTGTATTGCCAACATAATGTCATTTTGACTTTTATCTTTTAAAAAAAAAGACTTCACAGTTTATTTTTTCCTAAGATAGATTTTGACATTGTCAACTTTGAAACATAAACAATGCCGCTTATTGGTCGCAAAATGCCATTTGCACGACATGTATTGTAAAACTGATGTCAACCTGCCGGGACACCTCATTTTGCGACCAATCAAGGCCAAACATAAACTTTTTAAAGTTTTCAATGTCAAAATCTATCTTGGGATAAAATCTCGGATAAAATAGACTGTAGTGAAATGGTCAAGAAAAAATTAAAAGAATATTTGTGATTTGATTTCAGTAAAAGAATTACTTACGTTTTTTTTTTGTACCTAGAGTGTTTTTACATGATACACCTAGGTATAATATTCACTAGAAGAAGTCCCAAATAAAATACTTTAAATTAGGAGAAATCCCGCGCAATCCCGAGAAAATCTGAGCAATCACAAGAAAATCTGAGCAATCACAAGAAATCCTGCGCAATCACGCGAAATCCTATGCAAATTCGAGAAATCCCGCGAAATCTTGTACAATGCTGCGAAATCCCGTACAATCATTAAGAAATTTTGCGAAATCCCTAATTTTGCGCAATACTGTCACATTTTCACCCTAGTGGTTTACCCCTCGATCTAGGTCTAATAAAAATTAACAAAAATGAGCAATTTGTTCACTTATTATGTTCAGCATGAGGTATGCATGTTCTAGAAGGAAAAAAAACAGACAAACAAGAAAAATCACAACCGAGAGCACTGAAGTTTAAACCAAAAGGCTGTCTAGATCAAATAATTAATCTTATAGTTATTTACAAGTATCCATTTAGTAATTTCGGATTTGGCTGTGGAGTAGTTTTGCGTTTTAAATTTACCTGGTAGGTCATTAAATATTTTAGGCCCTACACAATATATGTGATTCTGACAACGTGCATGTTTAGGGTTCTGTAATTCCACATTTCCATGACCTACACCTCTAGTATTCACTCCATGTGCTAAATCTACTCTAAAGTAATTGTTTTTCAGCATAAATCTAATTACTGATTTTATGTATAGTTGTTCAAGATTGAGAACACCGCTGTCATTAAATACCAAATTTGTGAAATACCATTTTTGTGCAACATGCAATTTTGATAGAATTGAAACGCCAGCATTTCCCCAAACCACTATCCCGTAATTCAAAATTGATTCAACAAGGGAGTAATAAATCATTTTAAGTGTTGTAAAGTCAAGGATGTTTCTTAATTCATAAAATTTGTAGATTAGCTTTCTTATTCTCTTGGTAACATAATGTACATGTTCCTTCCAATTTAAATTTTCATCCAGAATCACCCCTAAGTAGAATAATGAAGGTGTTCTAACAATAAATTTGTTACAGCTGCATTGCAGTTCAAAAACGCACTGCGTTTCATGCATTTTAAGTTGTTGGAAATCAGGGAATATATGCGTAGAAAGAGAGAAGGTCATACATTTAGTTTTTTCTATGTTTAATGATAGAAGACTATCATCCAACCATCCCTTTATTTTTTGTAGTGCTGACTCTGCTCTTTTTTTTACAATTTCCCAGGTAGCTCCATTTAGGACAATAGCAGTGTCATCAGCAAAGCAAAAGACAATATCCTCCCCCAATAATTCCATTATTCCATTTATATAAATATTAAAAAGAAGAGGTCAGAGAACAGTTCCCTGCGGCACACCAGACTCCATTCGAAGTTTATCACTCTGCTGATCTCCAATCTTTGTGCTTTGTGTTCTACCACTCAAGTAGGATTTAATCAGCTCTTTTGGAATACCTCGAATTCCCATAGTGTCTAATCGATTTAGGAGAATTTGGTGTAAAACAGTGTCAACAGCCTTTTTTAGGTCTAAGAAGATTGCTATTACTTTATTACCCTGATCTAAGTTTTCTAAAATTTCCTCTGAAACCCTCACAAGTGCATTTTCCGAGGCATTTTCATATAAAATTTTTCTGGAAAGTTCTTGGAAATATTCTCGAAATTTCTCGGAAATATTCTCGAAATTTCTCGGAAATATTCTTTTGAGAGTTGATTGAAAGTTTCTGGGAATATTCTCATTCAAGAGAACGTTCCCATTTTTTTATCGGCAAATAATAATTGAATGATGATTGAATAAATAAATATTCTCGGAAATTGCCCAATGTTCACGAATATTCGCATTCACATTTAGTGCTAATTTGGTACATTCATGGCATGCCTAAACAACTAACAATGATGTATTTATTACGAAATAACGAAAAGTGCTAACTTAAGACTTGAATTAGCACACATACATCAAATCGACCGCGCGATAACGGAATTCGCATGCACATATTTAGTGCTAATTTAGTACTTCAGAAACGACGACCCGAAACGAATTAGTTTCACATTAGCACAGAGCTAGCACTTGTGTGCAGACTTAGTGTTTAAGTTAACAAACATTATCACCGATGACGCGATGAAACTAGAGTATACTATACTAAATTAGCACACATTTAGTGCTAATTTCGGATGTTAGTTTGGGTTAGCTCTGTGCTGATGTGCTGCTAGTTTGTTTCGGGTCTTCGTTTTTGAAGTACTAAATTAGCACTAAATATGTGCATGCGAATTCCGTTCTCGCGCAGTCGATTCGATTTATGCGTGCTGATTCAAGTCTTAAGTTAGCACTTTTCCGTGGTTATTTTGTAACAAATACATCATTGTTAGTTTTTTAGGCGTCACATGAATGTACTAAATTATACTAGATTTTCAAAGATTCGACCTTATCCAACTAGAGTGTGCCAGCTTAATCTTAAGCTGGCACACATGCACGTAATTTTTTTTAAAAATAGAGTTATAAATTATTTTGTTTTATTTATTTATTTATTTATTTATTCATCAACGGGAAATTCCCAATTTTACAAAAAATAAGTCTAAGAATAAAATGTTGAAAAAAAAATCAAATACACAATATATAAATGACAAACAGATTATAAAATACAAACTAAATAGGCACTAAATAGGCCCGAATTTAGTACTCTAGTTTTTCTGATGTGTGCCATTTTCGTTGTGCTAATTTTTGAGACCTTAGCTAGTCTGCATAAGTAAAATACTGTTTATTTGTAACCAACCTATACTGCTCTTTACTAGGGCTCGGAATTGTATTCGAATATTCGACTATTCAACTATTCCAAATTTGACTTTTTTGTTAGTTACCAAATTCGATTATTCGAGTATTCGACTATTTGATTATTCGAATATTCGACTATTTGACTATGCGACTATTCGAATATTCAAATATTCGATTATTCGAATATTCGACTGTTCGAATATTCGACTATTTAAATATTGGACTATTAACCTAGTACCTGCCAGCTCACTTTAAAAAAAACCTATACAATACAAATTTGAATAAATAATGTTTAGATTTTCAATAGTTATCTAAACGACTATTCCGGTTACCGGTAGGTATTTAATTAAAAATAGACCACTACTAACAGTACGAACTAACTAATATAAATGATTATTTTTTGTCAAAAAATGTCAAAACACCAGTTTTCGCACCAGTTAGTATGCAATTATCTGATAATTTGCACTAGTGCAAATTATCGCGTAATTACAATCTGATTGGTTCAAATCAACAATCAAAACATGTCAATTCATTGTTGGAATACCAGTTTTGACAGATGTATGAAATTCTCAGTATAATTTCAATTTGTAATCATTCATTTGAAGATTTCCGCTGGAAAATTTTCTTCAAAATGCACTGTTTGAACGTTAAACAAACGATTCTTATTCAAAAAAATACTATTTTAGGTGACCAAGCTATACTGCACTTTTACCGTTATTTCTGTGCTTATTATCTAAGGAGCTTGTCGAATTCCTATATTTAAATATGCTTGGCTGACTATTTTATAAAATGTAATGTCATTTATTTTATTTTCAAATTAGGATCTGGTATTGGAGTTAAAACTGCAGTAATAGTGGGGGGAATGGATATGATGTCACAAGCCCTAATATTAGCAAAAAAGCCTCACATCATTATTGCCACACCTGGTAGACTGGTTGACCATTTATCAAACACAAAAGGATTTAATTTAAGGTAAGGAACTTTGGTTTTTCAATTTGAAGCTTACTTTAATATATTATGCTTCTTGTTAAATATGAACACCTAATTTACACTATACAATAAACTGTTTCAAATTCATTAAAAAAATGTACTGAAGTAAGTAAAAATTAGTTGCTAATTATACCTTCAAAAGGGTGTTCCCAACATTTTTCCTCAAATAATAGGCAAAGCAATCAAGAACCAGTCTGATTGAATTTCATTGGTTGAAAACAGTCAGAAAACTAGTTTCAGCCAATGAAATGCACTTTGGTTTGTGTTTTCTGTGCAAACCTTATATATTGTGAATTTGTGTGCTTGACAAAAAAAGAAGCTGCATTACACTTGGTTCATCAACTGCCATACCGGTGTGAAGTTAGCAGCCAAAATTTGGCAGCCAATTTGACTGAAACGCCAGACCACCATTGGTGTAGCATTGTTTTTTAAATCCAAATAAATTCAATAAATCATACTTAGACATCGAGTCTAGCTATGAAATTTATAAAGCACTATTTTAACACCTTTTACAACCTCTATGCAAAATCCCATTGACTCAAACCCTGTCGAAATATGAAAAACTACCCTTAACAAGTGAAAATGCATAAATATTGAGATTTTCATATTTTTTTCCAACTCGGACTTCGAATCTTGCCATGAATTTAATTGGGTAATCTTTCAGCACCATCTCCAACCCCCATGCAAAATCCCATTGACTCAAACTCCATCGAAATATGAAAAACTACCCTTAACAAGTGAAAATGCATAAATATTGAGATATTCATATTTTTTTCCAACTCGGACTTCGAGTCTTGCCAGGAAATTGATAGGGCACTCTTTCAGCACCATCTCCAACCCCCATGCAAAATCCCATTTACTCAAACCTCGTCGAAATATGGAAAACTACCCTTAACAAGTAAAAATGCATAAACATTGAGATTTTCGTATTTTTTTCCAACTCGGACTTCGAATCTTGCCATGAAATTGACAGGGTAGTCTTTCAGCACCATCTCCAACCCCCATGCAAAATCCCATTGACTCAAACTCCGTCAAAATATGAAAAACTACCCTTAACAAGTAAAAATGCATAAATATTGAGATTTTCGTACTTTTTTCCAACTCGGACTTCGAGTCTTGCCATGAAATTGATGGGGTACTATTTCAACATCATCTCCAACCCTCATGCAAAGTCCCATCAACTCAAACCCCCTCGAAATATGAAAACCTACCCTTAACAAATAAAAATGCAAAAAAAAACATACTTTGAGTCAGACTCGAAGTCCGAGTTTTGGAAAAATATGAAAATCTCAATATTTATGCATTTTTACTTGTTACGGGTAGTTTTTCATATTTCGACGGAGTTTGAGTCAATGGGATTTTGCATGTGGGCTGGAGATGGTGCTGAAATAGTATCCTATCAATTCCATGGCAAGACTCAAAGTCCAAGTAAGAGCGAAAATCTCAATTTTTATGTATTTCTACTTGTTAAGGGTAGTTTTTCATACTTCGAAGGGGTTTGAGCCAATGGGATTTTGCATAGAGGTATTAAAAGATGTTAAAATAGTGCTTTATAAATTTCATATTTTACTCGTCTAAGTATGATTTATTGAATTAAAAAACAATGCTACGCCAATGCTCGTTCGGGCGTTCCCGTTTAATTGGCTGCCAAGTTTTGGCTGCTAACTTCATACCGGTAACTGCTATCTGGATCAATCTGGAATTACAAATGCAAAAACGAGCAATTAGAGCAAAGTTCGGATTTATTTAGTACTAATCATGTTAATTGCCTTCTTTATACATTTTTGAAATGCTTAAATTTGTAAAACAAAATACTAAACCTCTATTAGACAGTTATTAGCAACAAAATGATGTATTACCTTATCTTTGAATATTCCATAATGAAATATTTTATAAATTCGTCACTACCTCTGAGATTATATGTTATCAAAGCAAACATTGTTGTTTTAAAAAAGACTCGTTTTTCAATAAGCCAAACACTTTCAGAGCACTGAAATTCTTAGTCATGGATGAAGCAGACAGAATACTAAACATGGACTTTGAAGTGGAAGTGGACAAAATTCTAAAAGTAATTCCTAGGGAAAGAAGGACGTTTTTATTCAGTGCCACAATGACCAAAAAAGTTAAAAAGCTACAGAGGGCTTGCTTACAGGATCCTGTAAGAGTAGAAGTTTCCACTAAATATCAAACTGTGGAAAAATTGCAACAGTATTATATTTTTGTTCCTGTAAAGTTCAAGGTAAAAATTTTATGTGAATATACTTATTTAATTTACTTTAAATTTATAATCTATGATGCATTCTGTAGTATTTGAGTTTTTTAAACCTGAAAATTTGCATTTGTTTCGTCACTACCTCTGAGCTATTTTTTTTTAAACCAAGAATTATTGCAGTGATAAATTATCTGGCATTTGAAGTTATTTTCTTCGTTTCAGGATGTCTATTTAGTACACATTCTAAATGAACTGGCAGGCAACAGTTTCATGATTTTCTGTTCCACATGTAATAACACAATAAGAACAGCCTTGTTGTTGCGAAATTTGGGTTTCACGGCTGTACCACTACATGGACAAATGTCCCAAAACAAGAGATTGGCTGCATTGACTAAATTCAAAGCCAAAAATAGATCTATTTTGATATCTACAGATGTTGCTAGCAGGTAAAGTTATTCTTTCCCCATTAGTTTGTTATAAATCGTTAGGTATTATTCTATGATGTATATTTTTAAGTGTTTGAATACCCATGAAATTTCTTACATTAGTTTCGTCACTACCTCTGAGATTTATTTATAGTCTTTCTGATACACTGATTTTTCTTCAATTTTTGGTTAAATGTAATTTTTTTATTCTAGAGGTTTAGATATCCCTCATGTGGATATAGTCATCAATTTCGATATACCGACACATAGCAAAGACTATATCCATAGAGTTGGTAGGACTGCAAGAGCTGGAAGAGCCGGTAGATCGATAACTTTTGTTACACAAGTGAGTTTTTATTGAAATTTTTACTCTATTTATCTAATATAGTGGATTGTCTATGATGTATAAAAACATGTTTATTGATTAAAATAATGAAAATATTATTTATTATTTCGTCACTACCTCTGAGAAGAAATGTGATAAATACTTAAAATTTTCCTAAATCTGTATAATTCAATAACTAATAATTATTATTGTCTCTCTTTTTACTGAAAGTATGATGTCGAGCTCTACCAAAGGATAGAACAACTAATCAGCAAACAGCTCCCCCTTTACAAAACTGAAGAAGACGAGGTTATGGCTTTACAAGAAAGAGTTGCAGAGTCTCAACGGATAGCCAAAATGGAGTTGAGGGATTTGAGCGACAAAAAAGGGAGTAATAAGCGGAAAGGCGGGGACGACGACGATGATGACACTGAAGGGGCTAAAGGGTTTAGAAAGAGGATAAAAGGTGGAAAGAAAAAGGGAAAGAAATGAGACAAGTTAATAAATGATTTTTTTATTTAAAATTAAATTTTTGTTTCAATTATTAGGTAATGTTTAAAGTGAAACTCATAATTTTCAATACATACCTACATCTTTGGTATATTAAAAAAAAAAAAACCTGAAAACTAGATAGAGAAGATAAATTATTACAAATACAATAATACTAGACTAGTATTGAAATAAATATTATTAGGGTATACATTTTAAAATATTATAACTAACAAAGTCATAAGTAGGTACTTATTACTACTTATGTACAAAATATAAGAGTAGTGAAAATACTGGATATTAAATCATTAAAATCGAAAAAAATGAAGGGATAACATCATTGGCTCTAAAATAAGTTTAAATTAAAAGTTATGGCTCTAGAGAGTCTATAAACCGATTATCGTCCAACAAATAAAAATGTGGTTTCATCATAAGCCTAGGATCGTCGTAGAGATTACTGTTTTCCAAAAAATCTCTATTGTTGTGCTTCGGCTTGCTACCGCCAAGATAATCGTGAGATTGGAAGGAGACATTTTGCAATTCATCTTGATTTTTCCGAACTTCAATTTCTAGAGAGTCTGGAGTTATGCTTGGAAGGTTTGAGTAGTCTGCTGGAGGAGTTGGTCTGAAATATACACAAAGAAAAAAATAAGTAACCTATTGTATGTAATTAACATTCGTTGAAATACTAGAAAAATCTTTAAGGGCTGTTCTAAGTAAAATAATTTCCAGAAGACTCTTATTTGTTTGTGCAAACGCATCATCTCTGAGCTCCTGCAAATCAAGCTTCGGGGACAATGCAGAAGGTGCTGGAGAAAAGCCTATTAATATCCGCTCTCAATATCAAGAAGACCTATGAGCAGAATATATCTGACATTTCGATGTGAATGAGAAGAGAAATTGAAAAGCCTGGAAAAATTCACTATGGAAAACTAAATTACCTCTACTAACCAATGACCCTCTATCAGCCTGAGCGATCATGGGGACGACTGTCACTCGACTTCAAACTGCGACATGCATCAACGTTGGACTAATTAAAAAGAACCTCTACCATAGAATTTCTTATACCTGGATCCAAAAATATCATATCTTTTCAATAATAACTTCAAAGACCAGCCACAAAAATATTTTGTTAAGCTGAGGCTGTTTCCTCATCAACGACCCCAATGAAAACACATTGAAAAAATATCTATCAACACATCTCATACATCAAGTAGATCAGTGCAGACACCCAAACCCCCTGCATTTCTGAAAGGCTACAAATAAAACTATATACAGGGTGATTCTAATATGGCGTATAGGCTCTGCACTAAACTACGTGGTAGAAGACCCTTCAGAGAACCCCAGAAAAATAGTTAAAAAAATCCTCCTCGACCAATTCTGGTGATATGAAGGAGACGAAGGAGTAAAGTTGAAAAGTCGACCTATTTCCAGTTTTTTTTTTTTTTTAACTGCGGTATTCCCTATAGAGGGCAGGACAGGCTACAGAAAATGTGATAAATGCCGAGGATAATGCGTATTCAATATTTATAGGGGGGCTAGTAGGCCCAGGTGGAAATATTCTACATTTTTCCAAAGCCTGTTCTGAGATATGAGACCGTTTCCATACATATTAATTAAAAAACTGTGTTATCATATTTCAAAAAAACAAGTCAAATGGAGGTTTGGCATTTAGGGGTTTAGTAATGTTGGGAGGGACGTTGAATTTATTACAATAAAAATAAAGAGGGCATTTCATTTAAAAAAATTAAGTTATATACGGCATCTTAGAAACGGTAAACTTGGCAACATTGCAAATACCACCGTTGAATCGGGCATTCCCAAAAGCTCCAGGTAGAAAATATTGTACATTTTTTTTTGCGTTCTGAAATATTAGGCCATACCTTTGGCCATACATAACGACATTGCAACCCTGTATAGGTGCAAGGTGCAAGTATTTAGGATGATTCCAATTTTACCACTCTCTGTTCTTCCAATAACGGTTAAGAGGAGGTTACTTCATATTATTCTATTTTTCTGGGGTTCCTTGAAAGGTCATCCCCCCCCCCCCCCCCCCCCCCCCCGACGTCGGGTAGAACGGTAGGTGTCGGCTCTTCTTCCGAGTTCCTTCTGGAACCGTACTGGTTCTTGGTCAACTTGCCAACGATGTGCTAAAACGGCTTTTTTTTTTGTGTGTGAACAACTGTATTCCACTTTGTATCCCGAGCTCCTTGTAGTCCGGGAAGGTTGAGGTCTCTATGTTGTATCTAGGATCTCCCTTCGTTGTATTCTACTTGCCGGTGTTTCGCCTCATAACGTGGTTTATCGATTTTCTGTTGTCTTAGTAAATTTTCTACGGCTTCGTAGCGGACTGCCAAGGCTTGGTATCGTAATTGCACACTGTCTAGCTCACTAGGTGACTCCATTAAATTAACTTCCATGGGTAAAATGGATTTTCGACCGTAAACTAGCATGAAGGGTGAAAATCTCGAAGTTTTCTGTTTACATGTATTGTAGGCGAACCCTACGGGAGGTAATGTTTCGTCCTTAAGCAGCTGATTTGTGTCGGTATATATCGGTAACGTGTCTGCCAGCATTTCATTGAACCTTTCCGTCAAACCGTTGGTGGATGGATGATATGCAGTTGTAAACTCTTTTGTTGTTCCGACGCTTTTTAATAGTTCTGTAACTAATTCTGAGTGAAAAACCTTGCCCTGGTCACTCAGAAAGTATTTCGGGGCTTTGTGGTGGGTGATTATTCTCTCCATGATGAACTTAGCCACTGGTCTGGCCTTTCCGCTAGGTAATGTTTGTGTTTCGGCTCACCGAGTCGCGTAGTCTGTGAGTAGGTAGTCACATGCAATTTTTCCCAGACTTTGATTTCCTGGACGGACCTGAAATATCTATTGCAACCCTTTCGAACGGGATACCCACTGGTATGGGATGTAATAATAAGTCTATTGGTTTTCTATGCTGTTGCCCTTTAAGTGCTTGGCATTCTCTGTGTCTTTCTGTTGTCTATCCCAATAAAATCTTTCCTTTATTTTTGCTATGGTTTTTACTACACCTAAAAGGCCTGGCCTCCTGTTGGTTCGGAATACATAATTTCTCCGATGAGGTTTCTAGATATGGGTATAAATAGAAGGTAGTCCCTTCCCTTCACGAATAAAAAACTATATATGATTATATTATGTTTCCTTAACAATACCATCTCTCTTCATACTGGAAACTTCCAGTCTGGTTTTTAAAAATTACAGAAATGCGCGCCAGTTGTCATAATAGATCCCAAAGGTCCATACGACAATGCGGTAATTTGCATTTGCCTATACCAAGGAGCGCTCTTGTTCAAAAATCTCTTATCTATGAAGGAAGAATTTTTTTAAATCCTTTGCCATTAGTCATTAGACAGGCCGGTACCGTTAGGGTGTTTAGAAGAAAACTTAAAATTGTGCTTCCAGAGAAACCATATTACAGTATCAGTGAATATTTTGATGACCAGTTGTGATATCTGTGTTTCTATGTTTGTAGTGCCTAATCATTTACCTATTTATTGTGTAAAACTTTAGTACATTTTTTTAAATTACAGTAAAGCTTCGCTTATCCGAACTCTATTAATCCGGATTTCCCAGTAATCCGGACAAAATTAAAATATTAGATGTTAACATTATGTATTCTATAATCCGGATTACCTGTGATTCTATAATCCGGATCATAATTTTTTGCACAGTTCGCCAATCGCTACAGGTGATGTTACCAAAGTCTATGTCGGTGAATCCCCTCATTTCACCGAAAATGATACATTTGTTTCTGTGGACTGTGACAAGGGTGGAAAGCTCGGTAGGAAGCATCAAGCATCATTTGGTTTCCCCGATGTGTATTTGAGACTTTTATGACAGAATTCTTTTGTCAAAATTACTAGTTTTCAAAATATCCTTACTTTTAAGCACCGATATCTCGAAAACTAATCGTCTTATTTAAGATTTTGCTATATGAGTGTGAAGGGATAGCAACGAGCTATCGAACGATGTGCAACACAAGGTAAAATCTGTTTTTTTTTTTAAGATAAAAGTCAAAAAATGACATTGTGTTGGCAATACAATGTAAAATTGTCAATACTTTCAAATTTGTTATGTAGAAAAGGCTTGTGTTGTTGCCAACATAGTTACTAAAATTTTGACTTGGGGAATTATCTTTTAAAAAAATAAAAGATTTTAAGTTCGTATTTAAAAAAAAAAGTTAGGGTAGCTACCCCCTAAGGGGTGAGGCGGGGTGACTCAAAAAGTGCCTCATTTTGCTTCCCCCTTCAATCCCCCGATACATATTTGAGATCTTCCGGATAGTATTTTTTGTCTAAGAGATATTCCCGATTGCTACTCTTCAAATTGTCACCCTGTTCCTACATATATCCTATTCACAATCCGTAGTCCAAAGGTGAAGGTAAATTTATCACCTTTCCCTATCAAATAGCACTGAAAGGTGATAAATTTTACCTTTACCTTTGGATATCGGATTGTGAATAGATAATATGCTTTTCAGATATTATTGGCGTAGCATCATCCTTAGAAATTTGACAGGTTGACCCTCGTAGAATAATGACATTTGATGACAAAATATTTTTTAAATTTCAGGGTTATGAAACAGAAAGCCGAGTTGCCAGAATGTGTAAAGTTTCTTGGTAGATTCAATTCCAAAATATTTTTCCAAATTAATTTAAAAAAATTGGGTACGTAGTAGGATTATTTAATTTTTTTGAAATAAAATAAATCGAACATAACATAACAGTAAGCTTAACAGCATAAATATGTTTTCGCAGTAACACTATTCCTACCCAAAATATATCTGGTAGTTGGACTTCAATTATTATTCCTTGCACCTATAAGTCGCTGGCCCAATATAACAAGGGTTTATGTTACAAATTTATAAAAATTGGACTAGTACACTTACAAGGTACTATGTCGTCTGGGCTACACATAGAACCTGGTTTGAATACAATATCACACTTACAATGAATAAAAATAGGAGAACTACAAGGGTGTATGTCATTTTCGTTACAAGTTTGGTATTCCAAAGGTGTATGTTTATACATAGGACCCGATTTTAGGGGTATTATTAATTTACCGGACAACAAAGTTGTATGTGAAACCATACATCCTTGTTATACGTCTCTCTTAGATACATAAGAATATCAGGGTTTTATGTGACTCATAGGACCTTATTATAATACATATCTCTTATTGCATAGGTTGATGAATATTATAAAACTATACTTCCGCAAAATCCAAATAAGGAAAAGAAGCGGAACAATAAATCCTTATAGAAAGGGTTAAAATTTTCAACTTTTTTGCATTTTATGTTTTTTGTGTTAAGTTAAAAATGCATTTTCTCTTCTCAAGTTAATATCCTTGAGAGCTTTAGTTTAAGAATAATATATTTTCTGTTTTTTGAATAACTAAATCATTTTGTTATATTCCAAGGTTGTATCATACACTTTTGGTAGAAATATTTTTTTTTGTTGAAGTAACGAAGTTGTATGTTGTTTTTTTCATTAAAAAAATATATATTTTTTGGTAAATAATAATATTTTTTTGTGTGTTAACCTTCTTTTCACACCCAAAAGAATGAAGTGGAACAAAAAAGTTTTGAAAAAATATTACCAAATTTTCAATCCAAATGCAAAATTTTTGAAATTCGTTTTTCTCATTTTTAGCATTTTGTTACTTAGAACCATGTAATATTGGGCCAGCGAAGTGGCAACCTAGCATGTGGACGTGTGTTTTGATGTGTAAACAAATTCGTAAAGTTTTGGTTTTTTGAGCAAAAATAAATTGCTAAAAAGATTGTTATCAATGTTTCTACGGACTAAAATAATGTTTGTGCTATTATTTACGTAATAAGAACCACCAGTATTAGTGAGAAGTAAATAAATAATTTCAGGCTGGACTTTAACCTTGGCCAGGTGACCCCGATTTTTACACACATCGCAGCTGTAAAGCTGAGCAATAAGAATGGCAGATACTTGTCCAGTATGTACTGATAATTTTATAATTAATAGTAAAACTATAAAATGTGCGTTTTGTGAGGAGCGATTTCACAATATGTGTGTCAAAGTAAAAGATACAGCATCGAAGAATGTAGCGGAACATAACAACATTATGTGGTTCTGTGACACATGTATTGCTGTTATAAACAGTAACCTCAAAATCTTGCCCAAAATAAAGGATCTAGAGAGCAAAACCGATAGGATGCTAAAAAAACTGGAATCTTTGGAGGGTCGTCCAAAGGATGAAACTGCAAGCTTACCTCCGTCCAACAAAGAAAGAAGTTATGCAACTGCTATAAAAAAGTCTAAAGAAGGAATGATTATTGTTAGGCCACTTAATGGAGAAGTTACTAATGAAGAGGATGGCACAAAAATGAGAGGGAATATACAACAAAAGATAAGCCCCGGTGATATAGGTGTTGGCATAAAAAGTATGAAAAATACAAAAAATGGATCTGTCATTATTAAGGTACGTGACGCAAACGAGGCGCACAAGCTCCAGAGTGATATAGATGGTAAACTAGGGAATATAGTATCCACCAAGATACCCCAAAAAAGGAATCCTCGTGTAAAAATTGTCGGAATTGAGAAAAGTTATGAAGACCAAGAACTAATAGAGACACTAAGAGCTCAAAACCCTACGCTGTTAACAGAAGAGAGCCAAATTACAGTGAGAACAACTAAGAAAATGGTCAAAGCCTACTTGTCTATTATTGAGTGTGATCCAGCAACCTTTCGTCGAATCACGCTCAAATCAGATGGTAGGCTCTATATTGGTTGCAGGGCATGTAAAGTTTTTGAATACATTGGTGTTATGAGATGTTTTGGCTATCGTTATGGTCATACTTTTGCAGAGTGCAAAAACCAAAAAGTGTGAGGTAAGTGTAGCAGCACAGCACATGAAACCAAAGACCAGTGGCGGCTCGTGGTGTCTTAGTAAGGGTGGGCGACAAAAATAAAAAACAGCCGTAGGCGTAATTTTTTGAGATTTTCAAGTTCACGGCCTTTTAAAATGTTGTATTAGAAATATTTTTTATTTTTCAATTTTTTTATCAGGGTGGCGGTGCCCATCTTGCCCATATGGACGAATCGCCACTGCCAAAGACTGTGACAAAGAAGTAAAATGTACCAACTGCTGTATCTCAAACAATGAAAGGCACACTAAATATGATTCAAATCATTCCTCTTTCGATATAAAGTGTCCTGTGTATATAGACGTAGTCAACAAAGCAAAACCAAGAATTTGCTATGAAGAATAGCGATCAAAAAGGGAAGAAGATCGTAGTGATAGATGCTGCGCACACAAAGTTTACATCATGCACCAAAATATACAGAGTTTAAAAAACAAAACACTGGAAATTGAAGCTCTAATAGAAGGCCTCACTAATAAGCCTTCCATACTATGTTTAAGCGAACACTGGGTTGAAGAACATGAGGGCATGGAGTTAGTCAAGATCGGCGGATATAGTTTGGTGTCCTTTTTTGCACGAAAAAATCTCCAACATGGTGGTGTCTGCATTTATAGCCAGGAAGAATTGGACTTTGTAAAAGACAGTAGTATAGGTAAATTATCAGTAGAGGGAGTAGTTGAGATGGCAGGGGCTATGGGGCAAAAACAAAAAATGGTTGTTATATCTTTATACAGAAGAACCTTAGGATCCTTTTATGTATTTATGGAACAAGTAGAAAACCTAATGACCTATGTATACAAAAGATATTTTAATTTTAGGATAATAATTGCCGGGGACTTTAATCTAAATCTGTATGAAGCAAATAATCAGACTAAGCTGTTTTTAGATCTAATGACTAGCTTTAATCTATCACCTACCATATTTGAGGCCACAAGAGTAACTATGATAAAGGCTCATCTACATTAATAGATAATATTTTTTGTAATTTAAATTTGGATTTTAGGCCCAAGGGCTATGTTTTGAGTAGTACAGCAACAGGGATTCAACCACAAAAATCCGACCATAACCTCAATCTTTCATTCTTGACACGTGGTGGATGCGCCGTCGTTGACACGAAGGTGGATGCGTCGTCGGCGCCATCTTGTCAAACCTCATGGCGCCATCTGTCGTGAGTGCGGTAAATTCTTGCAATTACAGGTTCCTGTAATATGGAGTTTGCGTGGAAGGGATTGTTCCGAGTAGTTTCGAAATCGCTACGTATATTTAATTATGGTTCGGGTTCTGTGATGACGTCATAGCGACCTGGGTCACGTATATGGCGCCATCTAGTGTACATAGTGCAAAGTTCGATTCATGGTTCGGGTTCTGTGATGACGTTATAGCGACCTGGGTCACGTCAGTGTGTGTGTGTCGGTGGCGCCATCCAGCGTACGTAGTGCGACGTGTCCTATTACAGGATGCCGTAGTGGTAAATAAAGAAAATTCGTGAAACTCAAGGTTACAGACCATCGAGTCGACGACGCTTAATGTCGGAGCGTTATAAACAAAGGTATCATATTTCACAGTTTATTTTACTGATAAGCATTTACGTTCTAGCGAAAATAACAAGCTGGGACTTGCATCTAATATTTTGTTGATGAAAAAAGGATATTTTCACTGCAGATTAACTATGGGAAATTTAATGAATTAAATGAGTCACACTTGTTTTTTTTTTTCAAATTAAAACCTATTTATTTATTAAACCATAGGGTACATTGACTTTTTCCAATATGGTACGTTAAATTCAATAATAATATTACGCAGCAAATGGCAATAAATATGACTACATTTAAAGTGGATTTCGGTGCGATGTCGTTGTCTGATAGAGTCTTATGGGAATTATTGTATGTTTCTTCTTGCTGTTGTGGTTCTCTGAAGAGAGTTCTCCATTCGGTATCTCCAACAGTTTCATCATGAAAATGCAGCCTCACCTTGTAACGCAGGTACGCCAATGACGTCGACGACGGTATACGAGTCGTGAAAACAGCTAAATGGCCCTTATCTATTACTTCATAATGCATTTCTGTCCACGATGTTGTATTATTAGGTGCGGAAAAGTCCAGCATTATTGACATTTTGTGGACATTGTACGGTCTGTGTACATAGAAACTATTTTGCACAAGGGCAACCAAGAGAACATAGTACGATTGACTTGACACCATCATGGTTAGTAATTGAATGAATTTAAGATTCATTTCCACATCCTTAATAAATTGGCGCAATGGTTAATATAATGCAAACGATTTTTTTCACCAAGAAAACTTTTATTTTAATAGAAACATCATACAAATTAGTCAACTTCATCGTAACCTATATATTTTGCAATAATATCATCACACATGTATTTAGCGCCATACTGTTTTAATTGCTGATGTAGTCCATACTGATTCATAAGCACACATAGGTCCTCCAAGGAGATGGAATTAGCCAGATAAAGATTACAAGACTTGACACCATTTTCATATTTTTCCACATCTTGCGTGGAAAACCAACCATTAGTGTCGGGTTCTTGCTCAAGTGCTCGAAGTAAAAAGTACATGTCTGTTTCTAAACTAGTACGTAGCAAATAGACAGCTTGTCTTATACAGGAAGATTGATGATGGCAGCAGGCATCACCACGACGACCAGTAATACTACAACCGGACATTTTGACTCTTCAAAGGTTGCTATTGTAATGTGAAAAATAAAAAGCAAGCATGTTTTTTATAGTCATTTATTAATACTAATACTAATTGGATTGGAGGGTGGTACAACACGCGTCCAGCTTATCTAAATCCCTGACAATTTTGTCTAGGTTCATAGTAGCAAGTTCTAGAAAGTAGCAGCTACGTTCACATTTGTTCAAGTTACACATGCTGATAATTGATTGCAAAAGATGGCTGCCGTTTTTGACATTGTGAGTTACATTCAAATATTGTAGGCAATCATCATAGTATACAATGAAATTCAAATCCTTGACTAATTCTAATCTATAATTTATGAGAGGACAAACAGTTAAAATTTGTTTGATGTCGTCCAAACAAAAACACAATGCACAATTATTCGACGTAAGAGTTAGAGCTTGTTCACCGAAAAACGATTCGACATACAGAGTGAAATTCTCGGATAACGCCTGTTGTTGACCAGGCACAGCAGAGTCTTTGACGCCAGCAGCAGCAGTTTCATTCACCATCTTGGAGACCTTTTCCAGGAATTCATACCAGTCGAAATCGGCTAGAGTTATGCAAGTTTGATCTTCGGGTAAGTTTAGCATGGAGTTTACTATTTTGACTGCTGGCAGCATTCCTCGCGCGACGCTTAGGCCCACAATCAACTTGAAATTGTTCACCTGGTAGCTAACTTCGTTGAGTAAACGTTTCTCTTGAGCAATTTCCATTCGACTTTTCAAAATCATACTGTCCAAATATTCCCAATAATTTGACGAACACTGCGAATCGTCGCTGTCTTCGGCACTGATATCTGCGTACATTGTGTGATTCGATGCACAGGACATTTCACGATGACACCGTGACTACGTTCAAATACTGAGACACAAATGTGGTACTTTGAGGTTTATAATAACTTTTACGGCCCCCCACCACCACCACTCCGTCGAACATGTCTTAGACCAATCACATGCGAGTATTAAATGGCATCTTTATTCATGTCAATCCAGCTGTTGTGTGATTTATCAAAGCCTAACCACTTTACAAGCATTTTGTTTCCCTTTTTTCGTAGCACTTGCTCCACGAGAAATACGCCTGGCTGTTTTGTTTTCTGGAGCTCTTCCTCGTAAAATCCACCGCTTATCGGCTGACCTTGCAAGTCTTCCAACAGATACGTCGTTGGATTCGTGATATGAACTTTAGCTATTTTAAAGAGCTCTGTAGTCCAGTTTGGGGTATAGCCTTTTTGGAAAACATGTTTATACTTGCTTATGCGAACAATGTCACCAACCTTGAACTTTTGCTTACCGGCAACTTTGATATGACTATAAACAGTATCAAGTATCGCCTTTTCATTGTTTTTATTCACGTTACTCGGCTTCATATGTATCGTACGATGTTTGCTATCATTATAGGCATCAGTTATAGGCCGTAATAAATCCAGCCATTTATGGTTCCCATTCAATGTAAATTGCTTGAACAGCTTTTCTTTAATGGTTCGAATCACACGAGATAATTTTCTTTGGAATTCTTCCAGATGTTTTGAGTATCTCTGCCATAGCGTTGGCAACATCTGGTGCAGATTTCGATTTAATGGCACGCGTCCAAAGGTACTTGGAAAAACAGTCGATTACAACCAATATGTATTTGAATCCATTGTTTTCTCCGGCATATTGATCAAGTTGTGCCAGATCAGTGGCAAAAGTATCGTCGAGGCCATATTGTATAAATCTTCTACGTTTGAAGTTTTTACGAGCCGGTCGATGAAGCTCCTTAACCACTTGTTCTCTAGACATTTCACAAAGACAACTAAACATATATGTATGGGAGTACGTATATTTATAATAACTACTACAAAATATTGGCTGCATGTTTAATTTGATCAATTCGATGGTTGATGGTTGCTTCAAATTGTTCCATTTTCTGGAAACGTTCCTCGCACGTCATGGCCAGCTGACTCATCTTTTCTCCAGTCTCTCTTGCTAGATCACCAAGGCTACGAAGGTCATCGTGGACGTTTCTGTTCAAGATTTGATCCAATTCCTGAATGCGGATCATACTGCTTTTAACTTGAT